TCAGGTTTGTGTATATAGCTGCATTTACCTAACTTTGAAAGCCTGGCCCATAATTAGCAGCAGCATGACTATTTTAGAGCACTGATTCATTAGGGACAGAGAAACAACATATGTCATCAGCATGAGTACTTATGGTGATCTAAGATAAGGAGTAAGAGACCCATTTTATAAACGGAATCTTCTTAGAAAGAGTTACTTTCCTGTAGGTCAAAATCCTGTTCCTTTGTATAGTATAAGTCATGATTATTGTCATTTGTTTTTGGACTTATGATTCATTCCTAACATATTTCTAGAATTATTTTGGAGATTTAGGTCCATTTGCAACAGGATGGGGAATTTCTACTATAAAACCATTTACAGTTTTGCAATTGTAAATATGCTTGCACATGAAGATGGTTGTCTCAGACCTTTTAAGGTTGTGTTTGCCATTTGGCACAGGTGTATTTCCTTGATTTTTATTTGTTATTAGCAATTATTTTGAGTACTTGAAAACTGTCACTGTGTAATTAAATCACTCAGAAGTCAATGTAACATTAAATAATCCATATTTGTGTATAAATACATAATTTGAATGCTCAGTGTGCCATATTATGATTTTCCAATACTTTGGCTGTTACTTAATTTTCAAAAGTGTACATTTAATGCAGTTTTCCCCCCACCTGCAGTTGTGCAGGCCAGTCATGCCACTGTAAACAAGTTCTCACTGCACAGAAGTTTAAAACAGGTTTTATAAGTTTTAAAATGCAATTCTGTAGACAGAAAAGCAGGTGCTATTTGAATCAATTTACAGTATCATTAAACGTTAGAATGTAAAAGAGCTTATTTTTCCACAAGCATATCTATCACAATAATTCAACTTTTTCATAAAAATTCACAATTTTCTAAAGTTAAAAAAGGATGCTCCTCAATCAATTTATTTTGATAACTTGTGGAGGGAATTTAATCAGCATTCAAATTCTCAATACCCAAGATTTTCAGATATACTGCTGTAAACACTCCTTTTTCATAGTTTCAGAATATTAAAAATCCATGAAAAGATATCAGTAAGGTGTATCTTACAAAAACAAGGTAATTTTCAATTTAGGTGGAATGGATTCCCTAAGCTCAACAGTCTTAATACAGGTTGAACTTCTCTAGTCTAGCAATATCTATGGTGTGGCATGATTTTAGTTAAACCAGTATCCACTTAAAATGGGTGTGGCCACATTTCCCACAGTCCCATAAAATGTTTATAGCCAGGGATCGACAAACTGTGGCGAGCGCTACTCGCCAGCCCCGCACTGTGCATGTGCCACACTGGTACTGCGCATGTGCGCAGCGCCGGTGAATGAGGGGCACGGAGCAACTGGCTGAAATCTACTCGCCAAGGGCGAATAGAAACAGCAGTTTGTCAAGCCCTGTTTATAGCCATCAGTCCTGACTCTCAATGTTCTGTGCTGTTATTTAGCTCTAATTTACCCCTAAATGTCTTCTAAGAACCCAGTAAGCAGTGGAAGTCTTGGTAATGCTGCTAGACAATATTGACCTCCTATGGTCCTGAAAATTCTCTGATTTAGTACCAGTCAGGTTCAGAGGGTGCCAGACTAGAGAGGTTCAATATGTATATGCAAATTAAGTTAAACTGTGCGGTGGAATTCAGGGAAAATCAGCCCTACATAAACTGTTGGGTGGTTTTGCTTTACACATTTCTGATAGAGCAGAACTAGGAAGGAAACTAGATGGTTTGACCTGGGAGAAGATTTGATACTGTAACAAAATAAAAACAATTTGGGACAATAAAATGGATAACAGACACAAATTTGCACCCATATAGAGAAAGAAAGTGCAAGAGCACAAGTATTTTTCAAGTATATTTGAACCCGGCATTTAGGTAGAGACTGTTTGGCTAAAGTAGTGATTTAATTTCATATTTTAGATTTTAGTTACACATGTGAGCAAGAGCACAATGGTTGCTGAGGTCCCAGCTGCAAAAGCAGAATAGGTGAAACAAGCACTGAAAGCAAAACATGATAAATTAGAACCCCTGGAAAACCATGCTAGGTTTTGAAGCTTCTGAATTTTAGAAAAAAAGGGATAGGGTAAAGCCCGCTAAGCTGTTAAACTAAAACTTAATTAACTTGAAACTCGGGCCAGAAAATGATTCTTTATACACTAAGTAGTGCTACTGCATACTTCAGGGAAAATAATGGATGTGAATGACAGAGGGAAGATCCAGCAGCTGCCAGGAATAAAAAATAAATAACTAGAAGAGTTGAATCTGAAGGACAATGTATGGATTTTTGTGGACTTGAGCTCAGTTATAGAATCCAACTAAAATTTCCTTACTGATATAAACATTCATCACTGAAGAAACTGATATTCTGCCCTTCAAAGTTCAGGATTATATATGTTTTTATATTTTCATGCTGAAAGCCTGTCCCCAAACTGCTGAATAGGCTCAAAACAAAACTTTTGTATGTATTAGATCTAACTTTATGCTCTAACATTGTGGCTGCATCTAGACTGGCAAGTTTTTCCGCAAAAGCAGCTGCTTTTGTGGAAAAACTTGTCAGCTGTCTACACTGGCCGCTTGAATTTCTGTAAGAACACTGACGATCTCATGTAAGATTGTCAGTGTTCTTGCAGAAATGCTATGCTGCTCCCATTCGGGCAAAAGCCCTCTTGCACAAATACTTTTGCGCAAGAGGGCCAGTGTAGACAACGCGGTATAAATGGCGCACAGGGCTTTCTTGCGCAAAACCACGTCTAGATTGGCATGGACGCTTTTCCGCAAAAAGTGCTTTTGCGGAAAAGCATCTGTGCCAATCTAGACGCACTTTTCCGCAAATGCTTTTAGCGGAAAATTTTTTCCGTTAAAAGCATTTGCGGAAAATCATGCCAGTCTAGATGTAGCCTGTATGTATTAGTTCTAACCTTACAGTAGACGCATGCGAAATTTAATTTAATGTCTCAGTTAATTGTTTTAATATTGCTAGTTTATGCTCTGTTGTTCTAATAGATTAACCGACTTTTCCAGAACATCAATGTATTTTTTTCCTTCATGAAAGACCATTATTTCTCTCTCCTTACAGATTTAGAGACCAATTTTATTCAAACATGTACTTTGATGGGACTATTAATATGTAACCCCCAAAAGCATGGCATGCTTGAAACAGCATTCAATCTTATATCATGTGACAATAAAACTAAGTGGAGCCAGGCTGAAAAAGAGAGGGGAAAAACCCTAGAAACCACAGCAATAAGATTATACAGTTTCTCAGCAAAGGTAAGTGCACAGCATATCTGAACAATTTTAAAAAATAGTTTTTAATCAATATCCTACATAAATAAAATACAATGACTTAGCAGACTCACTTTTGTGAACTACATGGTGGAAGGGGTGATTTTAGGAAGGATTTGAAGGGGAGAGTGGTGACTGGCAAATAAATTAGTGGAGCATATTCTACAAATAGGTGGCAGTGTAGAAAAAGGTGGGGAGTGAGGCCTAAACACGAGGGTTTGCGAGATTGGACTTTTCTTAAAGGGATAACTGGTAGCTGGAATGCATGCACACATCTGTCAGCATATTGAATCTACTGCTTATACAAACAACAGCTAAAATTATAGAGCAAAATAATTATCCTGTTTATATTATGCAGTCAGAAGTACTTTGGGCCTCTCATGATTTTAAGACTGCATCGTCTAATCCTGCTCAGAGCTGGTTTAATAAACACAGATCATACCTAATAGAAAAGCTGCCATTTTATACTACAGCTCTCAAAGTTACTAGTTCTAATACAGGTGATGCAGCTATAGCAAAAGAAGAATTTTAATGAAAATTATGCTGGGGTAAACTGGGACTTTCTGTGGTAATAGGTTTGTTTATGTTATGTGTGTGGCAATATCTTGGGGTGGATAGCTCTGTGTCCTCCACTCATTTGGGAATGGCAAGTTTGCTATATCTGTGTAATTTTCTCTTGCAAGAAGGAATGAATCTCTCCCTGCAGGGACAGGAACAGAGTTCCTTCCCTTGAAAAGATTCTGAAAAAAGACTATTTGCCTTTGTATGTTATACTCTCTAGATGTGCACAGGTAGGATTTTACTCTTTGTATGTGGGAATCTATAAAAAGCCTTGTCTACTCTAGAAACTCAAACAACATTTCTTTGGGCTCAACTAGCATGGAGTAATAGAGGAAAGTAACACAAGGTTCTCATGTTTGGGCCAATTTTTACCATTCTTCAGTTAAACCAGGGGTGGGCAACAATCTGTCAGTGGGCCAGATCCAGCCTGCCTAGCTTTTTTATCCACCCTGCATGGCAGTTCCTGGCCCCGGGCCATAAAGCATTGCCTGAGAGCCAGACCATGAGAGCTCTTTCAACTATTTTATTTAAAGGGCTCCAGCTGCCAGGAAGGTGTGAACTCTTTAAACAGAAGCAGTTGAAAAGCCTTGCGCAACCTTGGCTCTCAGGCAACACGCTAGAGGCATGGGAGTTACTAGCTCTGTCAGCTGTTTCTTGCCCTTTAAATAGAAACAGTTGAAAGGGCTCACAGCTTCCAAGCCTCTAGTGTGTTGCCTGGGAGCCAGGGTCACGTGAGTCCTTTCAACTGCTTCTATTTAAAGAACTTGCGCTTTCCCCATGGCTGTCAGGCAACATGCTAGCAGAGACCTGTGAGCCCTTTAAATAGCAGGAGGTGAAAGGGCTCACAGATCTAGCTCCCCTGCTAATGCTTCCAGGGGAGGCGGGAGCCCTTTCAATTCCTACTATTTAAAGGCCCCTGCGACCACTTCAAAAAATTTCGAAGTGGCTCCCCCTTCAAAAATGATTGCCCACCCGAGTTAAACTTACTTTTGGCATTAACTACAATGGTGTAGGACAGTCCAGCCATTGAAATCTTGTCTATGATACATTGCTCAAGGATGTGAAACACAGTCTCTCCATCAAGAAACAGAACAAGGAAGAAGCTGAGTTACGTTATATCTCGACAATTTTTAAACAGGAAAATGACAGTGTCTGTTACCCTCTCTCTCCCAGGGATCAGTGATATCACTGTGCCTTACACCTTCCCATGCTGGGGATGCTGCAGTAGGTGTTAGCGTCTCGCGGGCAGGGGGAGCTGCGAGAGAAGAGCATCTTGCTAAAAGGTTGTTACGGTCAGTCGGTCTGTCTGTGGGGAGGGGACTGGCGCTTGTAGGGGCGCAGGATTTTGCCGAGCGGGGTTTCGGTAGCGCTGCCGCCTCCGGGGAAAGACAAGTCAATGGGCTTTGCAAGGAAACGTTCCCGCGCGTTACCTTCCCTGCCACACTCACTCAGTCCCTGCCCCCACGCGTTCATTAGCCGCCACGCTCCTCCCGCCGGCCGGGCACAGAGCAGGGAACTCACCCACCTGCGCTCGCCAGCGTGCTGACCGCCCTGGGCGCCGCCATCTTGGACAGATGGGCCGTGGTCACGTGAGCACGGCCCCGGCGGGCAGGTGGTGCCGGCGGGAGGGGCACGCACGCGCGCTCCGCCCTCTGGCGTGGCCGCGGGTAGGGCCCGGGCCGCGCGCTTGCAGCGCCAACCTCCCACCTAGCGCGGCGCTGCGGGGTGGGGGCTCGGAGTAGGACGCGGCTTTCTTGACCTGAGCCCCGCCGGCCTGGAGCGCCCGGCTCCCTCGTCCGAGGCGCTGCCCCCCCCCCGCCTCCCTGGCCTCGCGCTGCAGGGCAAAGCGCCCAGTCCTGTCACTTGCCAACTCTCCCGGACCGGCCGCAAGTGTCGTCCCGTCCGTCCGGGATACTTGGCAACCCTAGCACTGAGCCCACCCGCTGCCTGCCAGGCTCGCAGACGAGAGTCGAGTCCGGGGGGTTTCTAGTTCCTGGCCGCTGTAGGGCCCGTTACAGCGGTGTCCACAGGCATGCAAGGCCCTCCTGGTAGCTTGCCAGGAGCAGACCTCAGAGCCCCACCCAGAAAGCGGAAACTTCTCTCCTGGACAGAGCCAGGAGGCGGCGAGCTCACAGCGTGGCAAGCTGGGAGCACTGGGGGAGGGTTTCTTCTAAAGCTGATCTAAACGGGAAAGGTTTGCTGCACGGTTCCAGTGCTCGACTTTAAATCTCTCCGAATCTTTGCTTGGAGCAAAGTTAGCTTGATTAGGGATGCTGGAGTAAGCTGGGGGAAGTAGGCCACTTTACTAGTCCAGTCATGAGCATCTCTCTTATGTCACGGCTTTGAAGGACAGTGGTGAGAAGTAGAAAACAAACAAAATTCAAAAACAAACAATTCTCCTAATTTTTAACCACCGAGTCAGTCAGCAGGTAAACTGTGGCCATACTACAGCCTGGTGCAGTACTAGAAATGATGTATAATGATGTCTAGTGTGTTCTCTCACACACAATTGTATCAAGAAAGAATAGGCTAAAACAAACCCTGGATATGAAGCAGAGACAGACACATGGGGGAAACATCTTTGCTGAAGCCAAAGTAATATTTACCACATAACCTATGCTTAATCCATGCAGAATCATGAAAAAAATGCCTACAACTAAAAAATTCTTGTCCAGCTAGGTACTTTATCTACATACACTTACTACAACAAAGCCAAACATCATGCTGTAAAACTTACATATCTAGAAAGAACAAACCTGCTGCTTATAGAGGATGAACCTAATAGCTGCCAGGAAAACATTAAGCACAAAGAGATCAAATACTCAATTAAGAGGAATGGGGATCAAGAACATAGCATAGCAGGCACAAAAGCAAAGGAAGGGAACCCAACATTTAGAAGTGAAATAAATAGGCTAAAAGGGAGAAAAAATCCCCAAACTTGCATTATGTCTTAAAGTCAGATGAAACAGTGCAGGAAGTTTGACTTGTGCAAACTTCCATCAGATGAGAATAGATGATTAAAGAATTTGTATTTATTTCCTGACTTTGTACTTACTGTCTCTGGATGTGTGTACAGATTTTAAAAAAAATATTTAACTAGAAATACGTCCCAAATAAGAGAGATATCATCAATGCATTCAGCCTCCAACCCACAAACAGAAAAATAAAAGAAATTTCACTGCACTCTGGAGTATAGACTACCTACTGAACCAGTGAGGGGGAAACTTCAGAGATTGAGGGCCTCCTATTTGAAACTATGCAATCAATCCCCTACATGTTCCTGTATAAGCACAGTTAGCTAAAAAGTGTATCAGTTGATCATACACAAGCCATACAGTTCTTTAAAAAGTACTAGTGGTACCCAGTATTGTCCCCAAGATATGAGCAAGTAAGCCAATCCACTCCTTACACCAAGATGCACTAATTAGATTAGCTACTACATTCTGTGTCACTTGTAGCCTTTGACTTGTCTTCAAGGGTAGTACTATAATAATCCAATATGGAGATGAAAGTGGCAAGATCCAAAGTAAAAAGACACGAAAAATGGCACCTCTACTCATTGCTGCCTAGTTGGATTCAGGGCATTTCCCTATTTATAGGGGCAGAATGCAGCATCTCCATATGGTTGTTCCTCCAGCTAAACAGCATGATCTCTTTTCCACTGAATTGAGTTTCAGCCTGCTTACTTTCATTCATATATATATATATATATATATACACACACACTTCCTTCATCTTGGGAGGGCACTGGGAAATCAGACATGTCATCTTTTTGTTTCATTTAAAGAGATTTAGAGCTGTATGTAATCTACACAATGGTCACCCAGCCCAAAGTATCTTACATACATGTTGAAATGGGGGAAGGGCTGCATGCCAGAACTATAGAACTTCACAAAGTCTAAGGGTATGTCTACACTGCAGGGTTTTGTCAGAAAAACGGCCGTTTTCCAGCATTGGTAAACTTCTTTCTATGAGGAAGAAGCCTTTTTCTGAAAGGGCTCTTTCGGAAAAAGGCATGTGTGGACGGGGAAGAGGGAGTTCTTTCGAAAGAAGAGGAAAAAGCACAGGTGGCCATTCCACCCATAGTAATCACAACTTACATGTGAGATAGCGTCCATTCAGTGTGGATGCTATCTGTCAAAGAAGCAGATTGCTTTTTCCATGCGCTTTTGCTGTGTAGATGCTCTCTTTCGGAAGAAGTTTTTCAGAAGATCTCTTCCGGAAAAGCTTCTTCCGAAAGAAGCCTGCAATCTAGACATAGCCTGAGAGTAGCATTCCATAGTTGTGGTGTCTGCAATAACAGAGAACTGGACCAGATGACCCACTCTGATGTCCCTACGTTCCTATGTAATCCTTGAGGTAGGATGTGTGTCTGTATGATGGTAATTAGCTATCACTATTCTCTGGATTTTCTCTAGTGGAAAGAAACACTACAGGTGGCCCCCGACTTGCGACATGATTGGTTCTGGAGGAAGCATTGCAAGTCGGGGGCGTCGTAACTGAAGCCCACATTTATGGTAGGTGCTGTGAGCCGCCGTAAATGTGGGCCAAGGACATAAGTTGGAGATTTCTGGCCCCTTCCGCACTTACACAAATGAAAGTTATCAAAGATTTAACTGTAACTTCTGACTGCTGTCAGTTGCTAGCAGACCAATAACAGAGGTTAGCTTGATCTCTAAGAGCCTGAAACCCAGCTGAGAGGGACCGAGGGAATCCAAGGATTCCACGTATGTCAGAACTGCCTTGCCACCATTGCAATTACCTTGTCAATATAGGGCTGATTATAGAATTAGTATATGAAGTTATGTACTACCGCTAAGACTGAATTGTTTCATTTTTGGAGGGGAAGCCAAATGTGAATCAGAAGGCTGGAATGGCCAACTTCTTTTCTATTATCCTAAAGAACGAGTGAGCAACTGTTACAACCACTGGATCAGTTTCCAAGGAAGCCCAACTAAGAGCTCATTATAGTACTCTTAAATTTGTGCTTAGATGGACATTTTTGCTATACAATAAGAAAGCACTTATAAAATAGCCAGATTTAAGTACGTTACAACTTTTAGACTGATTCTGGTAGAGTGGAAATCTAGTTGTAGTCAGCAAGTGCCCACTAAATCTAAGCACAGTGAACATAAGGATTTGCATCCTATTGTGTTCAGGTACTACTAGTAACCCTCCTCGCCCATGCAAAACTTTGATTTTGTTACTCTAGTCTTAGATATAGCTTTATTCACAACTCACTCAGTCTTTGAAATTATTAGTCTACTACTTGCTGTGGAAGGAGTGTTTCTCCAAGGAACTGAAAATATTTCGGGGAGAGGAGCATTTTCAAAACAGACTAAATTGGTCAATGACCACTGGAGAGGGTGATGGGGGAGTAGGGAACTATTTTGTCTTAATGCATATGTTTGTTATCTGTGTTAACATCAAATGAAAGTCATATGCACATGGCAAGGAGAGAATGCAGCTATGGCAGCACAACATGAGGTATCAGTATATAAAATTATTTTTATCTTAATTGGCATTTGGTATTAAGATCTCAACAGCATAATTTTAAAATTATATTTTCAAGATGACCTGCCAAGCCTAACAAAAATTATTTCCAAATGAGTAATAAACCAAACAAATAAAATAGACAAAGATTACAATACATTTCTCCATGACATAAA